ACTTGGTAGACCAGGCTGGCCTCGAACTCACAGAGATCTGCCTGGCTCTGCCTCCCTAGTGCTGGGATTAAAGGCGTGCGCCACCACCGCCCGGCGCAAAAAGCTTTTGTAATATTGGCCTTTCAACTCTACATCACAGCCTAATAAAAACATAAAAAAGGAATATATAACTTTCAGGTATTAAGTCGCTTTGAGCTTGTATTTTGTGTGAGGCCCTATAGTCTTGCAATTAGACATATTCTTTTCGCTCAGCCTGTAGGGTTAGGTGGTTATACCCACCTTTCACTATTTGCATATAGAAATAAAAGTAACTGATGACCATCACGTCACAACTAGTAGCCAATGAGGCACAGGCACGTGAAATGGAGAAACCAATGGCTGCTGGGCCTGGCATGACACGTGCCATGCTTGATGGTTTCTAAGTCAAACTTTGGGCCACACCTCCAGCCACTCTGTTCAAATTCTGTATCCCTCCCACTTGCTCCCCATGGAACCGTCAGGATTGGGTGAGGCAACAGTATCCTCCTATTAGGGAGTTGGGGGAGGGGAGGTGATACCAGTGCGCAGCCCCAAAAGGGTCGTGTGCAACTCCACGGGGTTGGGGGGGTGGCATATATAAGATCTTCCGGCGTTGGCCTCGGAGCCCATTTTGCTCTGCGGCGTGCGTGGTCCTCTCGTCTCCTGGAGTTCTGGTCTGGAGGCCTCTTCATCAGGTATGGTGCTTCCCTCCCCCTGGCACCTTAAGGTTTCTGCCGTCTCAAGACGTCATCCATTCCTTTTGGTGTCCTTTCCTTTTATAGCCTTCTGCTTACTTCCACTATAACCCTTTTTGGGAATGTGAGATCGAAAAAGTGTGGAGTGGAGGACATTTGTGAAGGGGTGGGAAGCATAGCGGATTATTTGTTGTTTTCTTTTTCTTTCTCTCTCTCTCTCTCTCTCTCTCTCTCTCTCTCTCTCTCTCTCTCTCTTTCCTTTCTTTCTTTTTTCTTTTTTTTTTTTGAGACAGGGTTTCTCCGTGTAGCTTTGGAGCCTGAGCCTGTCCTGGAACTCACTTGGTAGACCAGGCTGGCCTCGAACTCACAGAGATCTGCCTGGCTCTGCCTCCCTAGTGCTGGGATTAAAGGCGTGCGCCACCACCGCCCGGCCGGTTGTTTTCTTTCTGTGAGACAGTGTATATTGCACAGGCTGGTCTAAAATTTCTGGGTTCAGGTGATCCTCCTGCCTCCTGAGAAGCCAAAGCACTGGGTTTTGTTTGTGTTTTAGATAAGGTCGAGGTAGGGGAGTTTAGGCATAAGTGAGGATGGTATTTGGCAGCAGGAGTGACTTTGGGTTGTCACTAGGATGTGATGGTGGGACGTGGATGGCTTGGGACCTGGAGACATAACTCGAAATGTATATTGGATAAGGCTGGGCCTGGTTCAGAAGAACTGAGATGAATGTGGGTTCTGGGAACATGCTGGAACTTAGAAGGGGTGATGCTTGGGACAGTCAAGAAGGTGCTGGAAATCGGATGGGTCAGAGCTTAGTTCAGAGCTGGAATGGAGATGGCTGTGAGATCTGGGCATATGCCTGACTGGGGAGCGGGGGGCGATGCTTGTGCCAGTCAAGAAGGTGCTGGAACCCTGGAACCTGGATGGGTCAGAGCCTGGTTCTGAACTAGAACTGAGATAGCCGCTGGTCCAAAATGGCACAGGAATAGGGAAGGGTCGGTTCTTGGGACACCAGGCACGGTTGGAACCAGAATGGAGCTGGATGGGGTGGGTTCTGGAAATACAAGTGACAGTTTGTTGTGGGTGGGGTCAGTGGAGGTAGGGGAGCAACTTTGTTAGAATTCCTTCTGTCTCAGTAGCATCCCTTAGTATAGCAGTTGCTCAAATCCTGGCAAGGATTTTTTTTTTTTTTAAAGAATGTCTTACAATATAGTGGTGGCAGGCCTCAAACTGACAGATTAACCTCAGTTAGCCACCTTCAAGTGCAGGGATTAAAGGTGTGTGCCACCATGTCAGCAAGGAGCTGTCTTTAGATTCTTGTGCAGACTCGGATTAGCATAGCCTGCATGGGCAGGGACATTCAGGACAGACCATATTAAATATTCCTCTGCTTTGCATTGAACAGATCAGTGGGCAGGAACCAGCATCCCTGCACCGCCTGTATGGAAAGAAGCCAGAAGACTGCCAGCATCAAGTGCCTGTGCCAGCCAGCAAAGCCACTGTATTAAGCACACTTCAGTGGGGCACTGCATAACCAACAGCAGGGGTGAGCAGCTATTTTGGTAGTAACCTCTAACTCTAGCAAAGAACAGGTGAAGGGGCTTCCTGCCAAGGTTCACAGACTGCAGGGTAGGACCATACTTAGGGTGACAGTGTCTGTTTACTTTCTGGGACTTTTTCTGCCTCTGATTGCAGATTCCATATAATTTGAAACCATAAGCTTTTTTTTTTTACTCAGTGCCCACTCTGCTTACCTCCCTCTGCACCGGTCACCACCACCATCTTGTTACTAAGACACTTTATTGGTTGGAGGACCATGACATCACCTGTTGTTCCTTAAGGACCTTAACCTTACCACAAGGCACTATGTGATAACTTATGGTAGAAACCCAGATCCATACTATTCTTGTTTCCATGGCAGTACTTTAGCGTGTCACACATTCCTTGCATCCACCACTCACAGATCATATCTGCTGAGTTCCAGTCATCTTTCTCATCTCCTGAGCATGTCTTCAGGAAGAGGGGAGTCTCCTATGTGCTGCTAGTCTTGGACCCAGCAAGGAGTGGTTTGAATCAAACATAGCCCCTAGTGGGTGGCAGTGTTTCTTCCTGCCCTTTCTTCCACTGGGTCTTTTCCAATGTTCGGAGGCACTAGTCTTTGCCTCCTAACATTGGCATTTTTCCCACAGGTACTTGCAGAATACATGGTAGAGTCCCTGGACTTCCAGTGAGGTTGCTGTGGCAGGACGTCAGCAGGGTCCAGTGAGGTTCAGGGAGCTTTGTGTGGGAAGACCCTCAACAAAATGATTACAAGAGCCTGGGAAGCAAGACTGAATCTCTGAGAGGAGGAGAGGTGATAGGAAGTGTTAACTAAGCTCTTATTTCTTTTACATTTCAGGCTGTGTGAAGCCCAGGACATTGCTGCCTTTCTACATGGCATTGGCTTAGAATCCTCTGAGTCCTAGGAAAATTCTGAGCTAATTACCCTAGTGTTAAGTCTGTTCATACAGGGTGGGACTAATGGCTGTGGCTCTGCTAGATGACTGGTGTAAGGGGATGGACCTGGACCCCAAGAAGGCTGTGCTCATTGTGGGCATTCCTGTGCAGTGCAGTGAGGCTGAGATAAAGGATGCTCTGAAAGAAGGCTTACCTCCTTTGTGTGCTCACAAGGTGATAGGCAGAATGTTCAGGAGGGAAGATGAAGCTAAGGCAGTCTTAATTGAACTGACTGAAGTTGTCAATTATACTATGATGCCCACTCATATACCAGCAGCAGGGGGGGCCTGGGAAGTGGTAGTCAAACCCCGTAGCCCAGATGATGAGTTTATCAATAAGCTGACGTACTTTCTGAGAGATGAAGGACGGAGAATGGTAGATGTGGCCAAAGCCCTAGGGTTTAGCATTGCCCCTACAGTGAGCATGGACCTAAGGAATTCAGACCAAGACAAACCAGAAGGCTTGAAGTCTCTGTGCAGTAGCATGTGTTATCAAAAATTGAAAGTGTTTTCTGGCAGTCCCTTTCCAGGCCCAGGAGAAGAGACCTTTGAAACCTGGTTAGGGGAGGTCACTGAGATGATGCAGTTATGGCAGGTGTCTGAGAAGGAGAAGAAGAGGCGTCTTCTAGAGAGCTTGCGTGGCTCTGCCCTGTCAATTATGCAGGCACTGTGGGCTACCAATGACGCCCTAACTATGGAGCAGTGCTTGAAAGCCCTAAAGCAGATCTTTGGGAATAAAGAAGACTATAAGATCTTACAGTTCAGATTCCTTCAGTTTTCTCAGAAACCTGCAGAGAAGCTATCTGATTACTTGCTGCGCTTAGAGCCCCTGCTGCAGAAAGCAGTGCAGCAGAGCCCCTTGTCCGCACACAGTGTAGACTCAATTCGCCTCAAGCATGTCTTATCTCGAGTCTCCCTGACCACTGGCCTTCGGGGCAAGCTGTCCCTCTTAGATCAGCAGGGATGCCCACCCACTTTTCTGGAGTTAATGAAACTCACTCAAGATGAGGAAGAGTGGGAGACTACCATGGTAGTGATGAAGGAGCAGCAGAATCAGACAGAAAAGGAAAACAGGATCAGTGAGGCAGCAACAGATCAGGTTACCACCCAGGCAGGATTTTTTAGGGAGATCAGCACCCAGACCATAGGAGAGGAAATTACATCAGTGAAATGGAGGCGACTGTTATGGACACACAGTGGTGGGGAAGAGGGGCCTATTAGGGAATCAGGTTTCAGGGCTGAAAATGATCCTGATGAGCAGAAACCCCATGTTGAAGCACAGGAGTCGGGAAACGAGAGAGGGGCTGGGGCTATGAGCCACCCCAACCCCAGAGAAATATAGGCTCAAGAGTTCCAAGAATTCCTTCCTCTAGCAGGCAACAGAGATACCTTGGCAAAATGATGGGGCATCCCAGACAAATGGCAGGGGAAATGAGTGGTGGTGCAGAAGGGCAAGACGGCCAGGGCCCGGGTAAGGCATCCCACTTGCCACTCGCTAGAAGTGATTCCAACAAGCAAAAACAGGCTCTACCTAGCTCAGTGACTACCATATCCCAGGCCCATGGAGAGAACCAGAGAAAGGAATGGGGACGTACTATAGCCAGACTACAGGGTGATCCAGATCCCAATTGGGACAGTAGTGAGTCAAAGGATAAAGGTGGTGAGGCTTGGGGCTCTGAGCTAAGGATGCCCATTGGCACTGAAACAGCATGGGGCGTAGAGGAAGCAGTCACAGGGTTGTCTTGGCCAGAGAGAACCAATGCCTGGGGGGAAGCGCAGCAAGGCAGGGAGACAGTGCTCCGGAGAGGAGGCCGCAGGATCCAGCCCGTCTTCAGGATCATCTACACTGCTCTAGGGGAGCCCCATGAGGGCAGTACCCTTGAGTCCTTTCGTGAGTGAAACCCCTGGGTCCCTGGACCCAAAGGCTCCGGGAGGCCAGTGCCAACTCAGAGGCAGTTTCCTTCTGGACACCTTGACTGTGAGCAGGAAAAGACACCAGTGCCCAAGAAGAGCCCCAAGCTGGGGGTGTGCACCCAGCACCATAGGATTCATGCTCTCAGCTGGCCTGAGAGCCTTTGAGTGTGCAGAACAGACTTTGTGTGAACAGGAGGTGGAAGAAGAGCAGCAAGAGGACTTGGGGGGGGGGGGCGAGGGTAGTTTGTTCTGCTCTCTTTTGTCCAGGGCTGCTGGAGAATTCCAGAAAGCAAGCAGGGGAAGCCTGGTGAATACAACTGGGCAGGCAGCTGCCAAGGCTGGCCCCAAACCCCGCCAACCTGGGAGGATGGCCAGGCAGTGCTGCCGAGGTGCCATCCTCCATCTGTCACCCATACCACAAGGGTGGAAGTTACAGAAGAGGCCATCTCAAGGGTTCTGCCTGGCTCTCCCAACATGGATGCCCCCTCCCCAATGCTATCCTGAGGCAGGCTACTCTCTGCTTTGGAACACCTCTCTTATCTTTCAGCCTCATACTGACCCAGCTGTCCAACCAGTCCCTTCCCACCTTGTGTGCTTATCCACGACCCATTGATCCTGTACAAAGCTGTGAGTGAGGTGTGTTAACTTGAGCAGCTGGAAGCCCTGACTACCTGGTCAGGGTCACCTCTACACCCTGGCACATGTTGTGAGCTTCTGTGCCAGCCAAGGCCATGCTAGCTCCTCTCCCACCAGTGTTGTGAACTCCTTGTCTGTTTTCCTGGTGTACATCTAGACCAGCCTGCTGCTCGTTCTCCTGCAGATGTGTGTGTTGTTACCTGATCAGGTGCTCCCCAGAATCCCCAGGCTCAGTCCTGGCAGCCAGTGGGAAGCAAGGACGTTGACAAGGGACTGGTCAGTGACTTTAACATGGGACTGTGCTGTAATGTTCCACTCCTGCTGTTACTTGTGACTATTTTCTAGGGTTGGTGGAGTTTTGCAAGCTATGCTCCCCAATTCCCTGTGACGGGTCTTTGTATACTCTAAGGCAGTACCACCCTGCAGTGGTGATCTCTTGAGAGCATTCCTTAAAGCAAAGGACATTACCAGAACTTGACAAGATTGACATTGACCAGATCTTGACAAGAAACAGATCTAGGGCACCCAAGACAATATATTGTAGCAAAAGGTCCTTGTGTGGGCAGGGCTTGTGGCTTTTCGTGTCCACTGAAAGTTTCTGTGTTACCTAGTTTTAAATGGTTTTAGTACAAGTTTTGCTGAATAAATTTCATGAATGTTTCAGCTGTGTCCTGACTGTGGTGGGAGTGAATTGGATGGCAACAGTGGTGGCTGGGTTGACACTGGCATGTGTGCATGTGCAAGACCATGAGGGACTTCAGTGGTCTGGATGGGAAGGAGTCAGTCTACTGGTAGCCAATGGGTGTGAGATAAAATGACGGTCTTCTCAGGGCATTTACCAGGAGCAGGAATAAAGGGGCTGCATGCTGAAGGGAGGGTGCAGTACATAAGGCAGGCTCCAGGATTCTCGTTGCAGCAATATACTTGTAGAGGGCACAGGGCATCTATGTGACAGATTGACAGATATGGAAAGGACTCCAAAAGGGCCAGGGAATGATGCCCTATAGATGTTGTGCATAACTCAGGGCATGGTGGTTTTCCACCCACTCTGTTCAGTCTACCCCCTGACTGGGTAGGGGCCAGCTCTGTCTCCACTGAAGGATATTTGAGGACTAGTTAGACAGGGTGCTTGGCAGACTGTGAAGGAAAAAGGGGGAATGAGGGACTATTTCAGACACCTGTCATTTTTCCTGTCCTTTTGTGGGGATGTGTATGTTGTGATCCCTAAGCAGGTATGACTTTTTATGTGCACTTGTGTGTGCATGTACCCACTTGCATGTTAGCGTGCATTTTTGACAGTGAATGAATAAGAGTATTGTCCAGTGAATAGGTGTATATATGAGTCACTGTGTCTGTGAAGGAGCATGTTTTTGAATGTTGGGAACATGTGTGCCAGTGTATGAATATCTCTGAATGTGAGTATCACTGAAGGTGAGTGTGATAACATGTCATTGTATGTGAGAATGGGTGTGTTGGAGCATGAGACTGGACTCAGTGAGGGTCCAGTGTCTTGAATGTAAAGCATGTGTGTGCTGATAAATGTAAATGTGTGTTACTGAATGAGTGTGACTGTCATATGTGTCACTGCAGAGCTTGTAAACCAGTGTTTTATAAGGTTGGTGGGTTCTGACTTGATCAAATATCAGGAGGCAGTATCATCTATAGTGGGTGCTCAGGAAATATTTATTAATGAGTGAGCAATCCTTTCCCTTCCTTTAGGTTTATAGCTGGGTACTAGGATTGCAGGCATGAGCCACCATATCCAGCTTGGTCTTGTAGTAAGAATGGCTTCTGGTAAACCACGTGCCCCAAATTACCAAGTTATTATACTCAAGTGCATTATGTACACACAAAAAAACAAAATGTTTTTTTTTAAAAAGAAGAAATCATAATACTGATGTGTAATATCTTAACATTTATTATAATTTGTATACATTAATGTGGGTTAGCAAATTTAGCTAGAAACAATAAGCAATTAAAAAGAAATAAAATAATGCAAAACCATCCCTCTTTTAAGACACAAAAGGGCTATTTTGTAGTCAAATCAATACCAACATTACAACCTGTCTTTGAGTATCTTCCATATTTCTAAAACTCCTTTAATGGCAAAGTACACCTTTAAGGTGGGGAAACCATCCTGCCTTGGGCCTCTTTACTGTGGATCCCATCTATGGGGCCTGCACTGAGACTCCCAGGTAACACCTCTAACTAAAGGAGTAACTTACTTTTCTCTTACTAATTCATTTGGCACCCATATGTTTTTGCCTACAATCTGCCAAGTCCCATGCTAGAGCGGGACTCGAGAAAGACTAGTTGGTAATTAGTGTGGGGATGTGGCATACTGTACTCCTTCTTCCCTTCAGAGTACACACAGCAGATAAATATGCAAATAAATAGAATGTTCTTCTCTGATTACTTGATAGGAAGAATAAGTCTATACTCAAATGTGCTTAGAACTTAGAGTCTAAAGAAAGAGATGAGTTATTTTTATAAGTAAATCAAATGAAGAAGCCTCCATTTTGCATCCCCCAATCTTGAGGGCTATTTTTCCTTTCAAGGAGCTTACAATTTAATGCTGTACCCAAAGGCAGCAAAGTGAAGTTGAATTAGAGCAGCATATTAACAGACTGCAAGGATGAACCTGCCTCTGCTCTGGCAAACATCAGCTTTTAGCACTTTGAGTACCTAGAAGTTGATGTTGGTTTGAATTAGAGTCAGGACTAGAAAATAGGTCACTGTGTGCTTAGGGCAGAGAGCCTACTGCACCATTCACTGGATGTCAATTAGATTACTGTAGTGCTTCAAGGAGAGATCCAAGAAGCCCAGACATGGAGTGAATTTCACACTTTTCCCATTTCTAAGAGTATGCTTCAGGGCAGTATTTCATAGTAGGGACCCTCTACACAGTGCCTGGCACATGCTCAATACTAGCTCAGTGTCATGATGGTTATTGCTTCTGGAAAAAGTATAGGCTCCAGAGAGAGACAGTAGTGGTTCTACAGGATTCTTCCCACTTCTCTGAGCATTACTATCTTCATTTCTAAAATGAGAATATTTTAGAGACTACTAAAGAAATTAAAAGCCAGTGCTTTGTGGTAATGCCTGGTGTGTGGTGAGGTCTCAAGAAACTTTATCTGTTTTCTTCTCTACTCTTTTGGAAGCTACACACTTCAGAGAATTTCTATGTAAAATCTAGGAAACAGGACACTGAGGGTAAACACTTGAACTAGCTATTAAAATTCAAACAGACACAGATATCCCTTTTGTTAGAAGCCTCCTAATATTGTATCTTTTCAAATTTAATCCTGGGCAAACTTTCCAATATGTACTGAAATACCTTACTGGAAAAACTCAAAGGAGAATGGGAGGAAGTAATTTAAATCTGCTACATAATTCAATCAAAAACAACTTTTAAGAATTGTATGAGAAATTAAAAATACATACACACACACAGTGATTACCTTGTTGCCAACCCTTAGCATTCAATGCCTGTAATTTCCCTACTAGGGATCATCAACAGATTTTGGTTTGGTCCCTCAGAAGCCTCCAAAAGTCTGCATACACTGATACTACACTTGTGCCCATGTCTAGCACACCAGGTCATCTGCACTCATTAGAAAGCCAACATATCTTAGGGAAGTCAAAGTGGAGTCCTTCATCCTGGGAGCAACTGAGATATGGATTTGAATTTCTAAGGTATAAAAGGCTATACATGTGTATTATAACATCATTGAGATACAATACTAGATGTATTATTTCAGTACAAGGTGGGCAGAAGGACAGTGAAACCAGGTAGGGGAGGATGTAAGGGAAGAACCAACAATTTGGGGGCAACTAGACAGCCAAATGTATCTGGGGCTCATCAGCTTCTGTTCAGCCTGGAGGAACAAAAAGGAAACAGGTAGCAATGAGAATAAGCATCTAATATCTGACAGCCAGGTTCCCTTGGGGTAGGTAACTGTTACTTACAGTGATTGTGAGCCTAAGTCCAACACAAATGCATTTCCTGGAGAAAAGGCAATTTTTGTGTAGTCAGAGAGGGAAAATATGCTGTGTTCAGACACTTGGGACAGTCCCACTGGCTATTGGCCTAGAGGCTGCTTTATTCAACATCTTCGTTATTAAGTCTAAATCTATAGTCCAAAGGAATATAGCAGAGAGCACAGCACTCGAATCTGAGACCTGGGATGAGGTCCAGATTCTACCACATACCAACTGGGTGTTTGTCCAGAACCATTTCCTTTCTACATTTTTATTTCCTTGTTACAAGATAGGCCCAGGTGTCACACGGGGTTAGAGGATTCAGCTGAGGTTCTGGATGGGAGAGGTATTTCTTTTGAGGAACATACTATGATTCTAGCAACTTGGAAAAGGTCTTTAGGGAGGGATTTTGCTCACATCACTTAAGATCTCAAAGTAGCATAGAGCACAGAACAAGGACTTGGGATTCTCGGATTAAATGACTGAGAAGCATGGCAGGGTCCTGAAGTAAAACCCAGGTCCAAACCAGAGCGAACGTTTGTCTTGTTCCTTTAGTCTAATGAGGCTTTAGGCTGCTTATTCTATGGGCATCCAGCACTCACCTAGAAGAGCTTCTCATAGCATTTCCCACAGTGGATGGTGTCCCGGTGAATGAAGATCTGATCTAGGAGATCACCCATTGGTTTATTGCAAATCCCACACTAACAGAGAAAGCAAAGTTGAGGTCAGGACTCAAAGCAGATTCTGTAAGCTGATGGCACATCCTGAGCTTCCAAGGAGATAACAAGATATTGCAAAAATAGATATAAAACCTAATCTAGAAAACAAGATAAAACAAATAAACACAAAACACCAAAGTAAGCTGGTAGGGACTGGGGAGATGGCTCAGTCAGGAAAGCATTTGCTGTGGATTTGATCTCCAGAACTCATAAAATCTGGGTGCAGAGGCACAAACCTGTAATCCCAGTGCTTGGGTGGCAGACACAGGAGTATTCCTGGGGCTCTGACCACTCCAGGGTCACTGAGAGACCCTGTTCTTGCTTAAATAACACAGAGGAAGGCGTCCAATGTCTGGCGCGCGCGCGCACGCACACACACACACACACACACACACACACACACACACACACACACACACAGAGTGGGGGGGCAGGATGATCAGCATTCTGGTTAAGGGTCTCAGTTTCACAATTCAGCCCAGGTTGACTGAGTGAGATGGGCAAGTAATTGAAACTTTTCCAGCCTCTACTTCCTTATAAGATTAGGAGAGGCTAGAGGATGTGAAGTTTAAGGTCCTGAGGAAGGTAATAGTGCTCCACAGAAGAGAAGGATGTTTTAGTAGCTCAGTTCTTCCCACAAACCCATGTCCCCAGGAATGGCAGTGGCAGGACTTCTTGGCACTGGGGGTTAAGTAAAAGACCAAAAAGTTCCTGGTTTTCCAGATCTCTCAATATCTCCAGCCTGGGGCTTCTAGCTTCAAGGAGTCAAAGGTGCCAGGAAGGATAGGACAGCACTTAGACAACCCCAACTCCCTTTGCTCATTCCCACCATGCACCTTTCTGATGGCAATCTGGCTACTTCTACTTCTCAACATTCTCCTGGCAGAGTATTCCTCAATGTAAATCAATTATGCTTTTGTTTCCTGTATAATGATTCTGTCCTTTTAGTTGCTGTGCACCAGACTGGAACATGGACTTAGAATGGTGCTCATCTATTAGGGGGTCACTTCTGGACATGCAGAAAATGAACAATGTATACAAATGACTCTAACCAGTGTGATCACTTTTCTTGGGGCAGCAAAAAGCAGCTGGGTAGTGCTGATGATAGAAATCAGTGGCAAAGCACTAATACAACATATGTAAAACCCTAGGTTCAATCCCCAGTATGAAGAAAAACATGTCTGAGAGACCTCTAGCTCTCTTGGCACAATCTAGAATTGAGCAGGTTTCTGTCAATGCTGAGTAACTCTGTGACCTTAGAAAAATAATGCTGGACTAGGGAGATGGCTCCATGGGTAAAGCACTTGCCAAGTAAGCATCAGGACCTGAGTTTGGACCCTTAGAATGCATATAAATCCGGATGTGGTAGCACGCATCTGTAATTTCAGTGCTCCTATGATGAGATGGGAGTCAGAGAGGTGACTCCGTAGAAACTCATAGGCCACCTACACTGGCATACAGTAGCAGAGAAGAGACCATTTCAGACTAGATGGAAAGTAAGTCCCAACACCCAAATTGTCCTATGATCTCCACAAGAATGCAATGGCACTAAAGGCACATGAACACCTACACATACATATACAACAAACAAACAAACAAACAAAAACAAGGAATATCTCTCCAATCCTGTACTTAAGGCTCATGGGCTACAACTCTTGGTCATTCTACTCACCTTCCAAGAATCCCCTAAGCATAGCAGCTTTCTGCCACAACTCCAACTTTGCCACACAGTATGTGATTCCTACTTGGGCCAGGTTAGAATTTGTCTGACATTACTTCTCCCTATGTACCAGTTAGATGTATACATGGCAGTTGCTTCATGTTTGTTACTTTGAAACTAACTTCCCTTTACCTCTAACTCCTATTCATCCTCCCTCACATAGCCTCCCTGCAGTTCTTGCCCACTCCAATTGCATTTTCCCTTGTGAATGGTCAGTGCTGTGTAACCACATGTATTCAAGAGTAGCCTAGGTCTTAGGTTCCCCATAATTTTGCTGTGCTTTATGTAATGGTCTGTCATTAAGTACATAACCTCAAATCAACTCTTCTTGTACTATTCATAGAAGTCCACCAGTCAAGGAAAACAATATACTTTGTACCTTCTATAGGTGACCTACAAAGTTGGCCAGTTCCTCAAGCAAGTCACCCAGACTTCACTCACCACCTTTCATATGACCTCTTATCTCAAAGTCCAGTCCACTCACAATTTGGTCTCCATCATATCACTGAACTGTTCCTAGTAAGGCACTGATAACTATCATGTTACAAAATTCACTGGTCACATTTCAGTCTTCATCTTATTTGCTCTTAGCAATTGCTGACAGGGTGACGTAGCATTCAGGCATTTACACTGGCCTGCTCTCAGGGATGTAGCAGGACATGTCATCAGCAGCAGCCAAGATGTGACACTGTAGCTACTCAGCCACTAAGTAGAGCACTGTCCCTTTGTGCATGCACTATATTCCCTTAGAAAAGGCAAGCCCTTCTCGCCCCCCTCTCTCTTTCCTTCTGCTCTTAGAGGCCACCTCTGCACCTCCCCACAATAAACTTTCCACGTGAGCTCTGTTGCATGGTGTGACTTTGTGGTACTGTCATGTCATTTTTTCATTCATCTGGTGTTGAAACCATGGGAGTGGCATTATATGAGTTCCTTTCCAAGTGACTCACCTCTCCAAACTAAGCTGCTGACCTGACTCTCCTAAGGTATGTATGGATCACTTTTTTCTGCTGCCTTCTTCTACCCACCAAATTTGACTGTAAATTCTGGAGTCCACCTCTTCAGCTGCATCTTCCCTCCACCTGCTTGAACCATTCATCTCTCCTCATCTACTTGGCAAGTGTCTCTCTAGCTCCTGCAGCCTGCTATACTTCCTGTGCACTTATCATGTAACTATTGGTCTCTGGCTCGTGGACCCTCCTATGCCCTTCTGGGATGACTATCACCTGGGCATGTCTTTGTCTCTCTGGCCTGCAACACCCATGGGGGCATCCCTCTGCTAAAGACACGTACCCCCTCTCTTTTCCCCAAAGCCTCTCCCAGTCCACCTCTTCAATCATTTTCCCCTCTACCTACTTTAACCATGTCTCTCTTCTTCTGCTGCATAAGTGTTACGCTGGAGCTCCCTGCTTTGTCTACTTTTAATACAAAAGCCACACTGGTGTGCCAGGACATTCCTCTTGCCCTACTGGACCCCTATCACATAGACGGGGTCACCTCTCCTCTGTGATTTGGAACATTTCTCTCTGACAAGTCTCTCATTTCGCTTGGAGATGCCCTAGATTGAAATTCTTGACACCACTATACTCACTCCCTCTGCTCCTTTTGTTCTCAGCTCCTTTCTAGTCTTCCTCACCTCTTGCTAGGAGCTTCAGTGTGACCCCTTTATTGTCTCCTCCCAGTCAGAGCTACCAGCTCTGTCTTTCCTTATGCTGTCCTGGGCCTCCAGTTTCTTATCTCCTCTTGAGCCTTATATGACCCTTTCTCTCTTCCTCCTTGGACTCCAAGATTATTAAAGTCTCACTGTCTTACTGCAAAAGGCTTGGCCTCAGTATATAGATCAATCAGTGGCCAATGATTGGCACACTAGATTTTCAAATTCTCTCATATGGTAACAACTTCTGTCACTGCACAAACAAATGATCCCCAAATCTCTTATATCTAAACTTGCTCTGCTCTAAGGTTTTTCTACTTTCCAGTCTTAAAAATCTTCTATCTATCTCAGCCTGGCAATGGTAGCATAGGCCTTTAATCCCAGCACTCAGGGAGGCAGATGCAAGTGGATCTCTGTGAGTTCAAGGCCAGCCTGGTCTACAGAGTTGAGTTCCAGGACAGGCAATGGAGAGAAACACTGTCTTGAAAAATCAAAAACAAAATAAAACAACAACTTCTATCTCTACTATTTCTTTGCTGTCCTACTCTCAAAGAAAATCTCTTAAAACTATGCTGTAAACTATGTCAGGATTTTTTAAGTTCCTTGGGTTGGTTAAAAAAATCTATAACAAATTTAGCTTAAAACTTTTAACAAAAAGGTTACAGTTAAAATCTTAATTTGCTACAACTTACTATTCAACTCTTGTTTAAAAAATAGATCTATTAGATAGATGTTTTTAAATAGCAACCACACGGCTGATAGCTGTCTTTACTAAGGTTAAAAAAAGAGTACATGCCATGTGACTTCACCACCTTGATTAAAATGACTACATGGTATAAACCAACCAAAGCAACAATTATAAAACTTGTTAGTACTACGGAGCCCTTGGCTTATCAGTGTATCTCCTTTTAGACTAAGGCAACAGCAGGTCTCCAGAGTATTTTGGATTAAGATGGATTTTCATATGATGATCAATTCCTAAGGTTATAAAGGTCTACTTAGGTTAACAGAAACTGACTTAGAGATGTATGTCTAACCACTTATGTCTTTGCTGTGTTCAATACAAGGCTTCTGAAAAATCTTAGATAAGGAACAACATATGTTTGATGAATAATATATATTTGATAAGTAAGGTTTATAAATTCCTAAGATCTACTTAGGTAAACAGTAAGTAACTTAAAGATATATGTCTAGCCTCTTTGTCTTTGTTAATTTTGTTAAGCTTTAGCCATTTGGAGAAACTGAGTTATACACGAAACTGATATTTATTCTGTAATGATGCACTATAAAAAAGATCAGCAGAGCCGGGCGTGGTGGCGCACGCCTTTAATCCCAGCACTTGGGAGGCAGAGGCAGGCGGATCTCTGTGAGTTCGAGGCCAGCCTGGACTACCAAGTGAGCTCCAGGAAAGGAGCAAAGCTACGCAGAGAAACCCTGTCTCGAAACACCAAAAAAAAAAAAAAAAAGATCAGCAAAGTTCCCAGTCTCCTATGGACTGTATTTACGGTTTAAAGTTTACTGCATTTATGGCTTAAAGTTTTATTTTGATGCTAAAACATCTTCAATTAAATCTTCAACTCAATTTTTTTAAATCTCAAACTTAACAGTGATAAAGCTATAAAATCCTAATCTTATAAAAGCTACTAGCTTATGGTAAACTGTTAAAGTGAATTAATACATGCAAGTTAATGCTCAGAACTATGTTCTTAGTCATGCTAAGTACAAATATAATTCATTTGCAGGGACATGCTTTATTCAGCCTCCTGTATGTGTTTTCAAGGATAAGCCTAAAGCAAGTAACTTTTTTTTTTTTTTTTTTTTGGTTTTTCGAGACAGGGTTTTTTTTTGTAGCTTTGTGCCTTTCCTGGAACTCACTTGGTAGACCAGGCTGGCCTCGAACTCACAGAGATCCGCCTGCCTCTTGCTGGGATTAAAGGCATGCACCACCACCGCCCGGCGCAAGTAACTTTTAAGCAAAAATGTTTAATGAAAAGAAGCTTCCTGTGATAAACAGAAATGTCAGCTCCTAGTAGCAACCCTAAAGTCTCCAAAGAAGATGATGCGGATAACCACGTGGAACTATGTCTCCTCACTGCTAATGTTTTAGGGACTCATGCTGAGAAATCCATCTTGCAGTATTGTTGGTGAGTTTCCCTGTCTATTGTTTGCTGATCTACCTTGTTAAGCAGGGCTTGCATGTTAACTTGGTTCTGTTTTTCTGGCCAGACACCCACTTAGTGTTTGATAAGTGCCACTGGCACAAAACAAACAAACAAACAAACAAAAAACAAAAAACAGAATTTTTTTTGACATACCCATACTCTGCTTCTGGATCAGATGGAATAGTACATGGCTTTTCCATGAGATATCTTAAGACCTAATACCCACATATGTCCTCAGTCATTCTTCTACCTCCACGAGAGCATCCCAAGAAAAATAGAGAACTACTTCCTCAAAGTAGCACATTAGGAATACTATAACTTTTATGTTCAAAATAGATAAATTTAAAGTAACAATGAGAAAAACATTTTCATCAGTAAATGCACTTCCTCTCCCTCAGCTATTTAGTTCATTAAAAGAGAAAAAGATACTATTTCATGTCTACATGACAAACTTCATATTTTGATTTTTTTGTATTACTAAGCCTTTCTCATATCTTAAAGAGATAGGGATATAAACATTCTACCTTTTTACACCATTTATAGGCACACCATTTATAAAGGCTACTTTCATTAAAATGTGGTTATAGATAGAACCAACTTTCTGAGTGGACTTAAGGACTTCTTCACAGGGGGGAATTCACATCTGGTTCAGGGAACTTAAATAAAACCTTTGTTGCCAAGGAAGTCATAGGTCCAGTGGTTAAACAACTGCCATTGCTTTAGTAAATGAGTGTGATGTACTGACTAAGATGATGTTTATGCAGGCTGCTGAGGGATAATTGTCACCAACAGTCATACCTGGATGACAATCCTGCATGCTATACTATCAATACATGAGATATGTGTTCTGGTATAACTAGTAACATTCCAGTTGGATTTAAGGCCAGCTTTATGGAAGGGAATTCACATTTCATACTGTAAGCCCTGTCAAAGGCAGTGGCTGGGGAGTGCATAGGCCCTGGTGTGGAAAATACTAATGTTGTTCTGTTAAATAGACATTTGTTCATAGCCACAGATTATTGCTACTGTTAACTTTTATTAAGGAAGCTTCTTTTTGTAGTGAGAGGTGGTTACTCTAGATTTCTAATTGGTCAAAGTGCTGAATGATACTATTGCTGAAGCATAGTGGGAGAAGCTCTGAGTGGGAGAAAATAATCATGTATCTGTATCACCCCCTTCCAAGACCCAGAGAACATCACAGAAGAAGGAATAGAAAGAATTGTGGGAATCAGAGGGAAGGATAAACTTCTGTGGAACTCTGTTGTCCTGGCAAGGCATGGCTGTTGCATCTTAAAATCAGAGTGTCTATGATCACCTATGTGAGATCCTTACAAGATTGGGCCCAATAACATTCCCTTGTAGAACTCACAGGGCAGCTCATGAAAGGGTCACTGGCACTTCAGGAGAGGCATATGAAGCATATTAGACTAGATACAGTAGGTCCCACCCCACCCCAAGAATATATAAGCAGTTAATGCTTGCTACGAGGAGGGTATTTTTCTTTGGTGGTGTAGCTATGTCATAAGTTACCCATGTTCCTATAGGCACCCCCTCACCTATACTCCTGTAATTAACTCTGGTTAAACTCACTGTTTCACCAAACTAGACTTGAGTGGAATCATTTTGTTCATCTGTTTTTGGTGTTCTATATGGGGTGAAAGGACATCTGTTCACATGTTCCCCTAGGAAAATTTAATACAGTTACCCCCCCCATTTTTGCCATCTTCTTCATGCCACTTAGAATGAGCCATGTTTCTATGTTGGGACCTTTGCATTACTGGTCCTCCATGAAAAATAGACTCTGCACAGAACACCCTTTTTGCCTCCATTATGTTACTAACCATGTGGAACTGCCAACATTCCTCTCTAGTTAGCTCAGTGCTCTGTTGAGCCTCTAAGATTGTTCAGAGCTGTGTGCAGAAATCCAATGTCCTCTATACTTCCATAATCTCTCATCAGATTTGTGCTCTTTCTTACCTTAAAACAGTACTCATGGCAGCAGATGCCAAGATGTTCAAGGGTAATCTTTGGACAGTCTCGGATCTCATGGGTGCAGTAAGTACAGACCCCTTCAGTTGGTCTAGGAGACAGAAACAAGAAACAAGTTCTCAGCCTGGTACCCATACTTCTTATATAATGCAGCAGATCTTCTTATTTGGTGCAGACAGACCTAGGTTTGCCAGTATTCCCAGCTTCCCATTGTGTTTTATGTTGTATAACTGAGAGCCAAGTTTGTATATTGTATCACCAATGCCAAATTGCTTCTCAAACTTGGAACTATTCTCCAAAACCAGTATTCATAGCCCTTTTCTGCATGCCTGGGACCATGAAGCCCAACCTTTCTCCCAGTTACTATCAAGGCCACCTTATCTTTAGTCTGATTGTATAGCCTGCTCACAACTCATTTTAAACTCCTAGAAGATACTGACTTCTGGATCAGTAGTATCCTCTGTTCTAAGATTCCTTTTATTTCTGAGAATCATCTCTGATCCTATTTCTTTTCTATTCTTAACAGGAACTGCTGAAAAAGTCTCCTTTCTCTGATCCTACAGGCTAAAATTAGGAATTCTATCTTCCAGAGATGTAGACTTGATTTCAACAGAAGCCAGAATGTCACTAGCAACCAGGCCCCAGAACTGCCATGGACACTGATGGTTTGCCCTGTGTGGTGGTTTGAATGAAAATGGCTCACACAGGCTCATAGGGAGTAGCACTATTAGGATGTATGGCCTTGTTGGAATAGGTGTGGCCTTGTCGGAGAAAGTGTGTCACTGGTGGTGGGTTTTGAGGTTTCAGATGCTCAGGCAAGGCTTGGTGTATCATTCTCTTCCTGCTGCCTGCAGATCTGGATGTAGAACTCTCAGCTACTACTTCTCCAGCACCATGTCTGCCTGCATGCTACCATGCTTCTTCCCATGACAATAATGGACTAAATCTCTGAACTGTAAGCTAACCTTTATAAGAGTTGCCATGGTCATGGTGTCTCTTCACAGCAATAAAAATCTAAGAAAGAACTTGGTACTAGGGATGGGAGTATTGCTGTGATAGGCCTGACCATGTTTTTGTTTGGAGGAATTTCATACTTTGGGTTAGGAAAGGAGTAGAATGCTTTAAGTGGGCCTTAATGGGACATACTAGTAGGGACAAGGAAGACTGGTGCTGAGTGTGATTTGAACTGTGGGGGCCCAGGTCAAGAGGTTTCAGAGGAGAAGAATATTAATATGTGAAGCTGTGAAGGTGAAGCCTGGATTGCCCTGGAGACTCCAAGATGTTGGAGATGCCAGAGCCATGGGATACCTGCTTAGAAAAGCTGCTAACAGGGAGTGGAACCAGCCCAAGAAAGAGAAGTGTGTTTGGTCAACAAAACTGCAAGGAGTTGGAGATCTGAAGATGTTTTGATATCAGACATGGGGATACAGAGTTTGTAGGGAAAGCTAGTGAGCTGACCACCCTGCCCCAGAACCAGGTGTATGAGTTAGCACACCTCAACATCCACCTCATCTATGAGCTGTTGGAGTAAGTGAGGGGGGCAAAACTACAGATCCAAAACAGCAGGATCTCCATGACACAGGACAACAACAGGATAACCAAGAGCTGCCCAGTGAGAGCTCATTATCATTATCTGTGGTGTAGCAGAAACCAGTGGCCTTGAGCCAGACCAATGACTCATGACCCTGGGGTCAGGTCTCTTGCAATTGGAAGAGAGGGCCCTGAATCTCACCTGTGCAAACTGTAGAGCCCTCGGCCCTGGTGATATGAGTGAGGGAGACCCAGATCTGAGAGTTCAAGAGCAGGAGAACTGGGCCTGCTCCTTGCTACAAGCTGCATTGTGTGAGCTAGCCAAGGCAGTGCTGGAGAGTTCATCAAGTAGTGGCAAGGGAAAGCATAGTGAGGAAATACTGGACCAAAACAAGACCAAAAAGCAGCTGTGCAAACTTCAAACTCTGCATCTCCATGTCTGATGTCAAAACACTCTTCGGGTCTCCAAGTCATAGGAATGAACACTTGCAAGTAAAGATGAACAGACTAAAGGGTGATGGTGTGACTCACTGGGCCATAGTACAGCTTCCACAAGATTCTTCTGTTTTTCTTTTTGTTGTTTTGTTTTGTTTGTTTTTTGGTTTTCCTTTTAAATTTGGTTTTGTTTTGGGGGGAGGTTGCAAGGGCAGAGAGTGGATGGGAGGGGACGGGCAGATAGGTGAGATCAGAATGCATGATGTGAAATCCACAAAGAATCAACAAAAGTAAAAAAAAAAAAAGTTGGGGCCTAGCAGGAGGCAAATAGTTTATTGTAGGTGCTTCCTTGGAAGAGAATAATTTAGTTCTTATAGGATCAGTTTAGTTACTGTGAGGATACACTGTAATAAAAGAAGCCTGACGTTCCTTTTTTTCAAATATGCCACTCATGTGTCTTCTAGTCTATGGGATACCATCTGCTATGAGATCCCTAACTACAGCCAAATAGATATTAGGTCCATGCTTTTGAATTTCAAAGACTGTGAACTAAATAAACCTCTTGTTTTTATAAAGTGGGTGTTTTGTTTATATGTTTGTTTTTGAGAAAGGGTCTCACTGTTTAGCCCTAGGTGCCCTGAAACTTGCTATGTAGACCAAGCTGGCCTCAACTTCACAGAGGTCCCCTGCCTTTGCTTCCTGAATGCTAGGAGTAAAGGCATGTGCCCACGCCCAGCCTTGGGTATTTTGTTAAAGCAGCATGTAGCAGACTATGAAATCACCTGATGATTTACTTACCAAGTGATCTGTTATTGTTCAGGATTCAGTTATTTGGATTTTTCTTCAGCTATATTGGAGGGGACATCTGTAACCTTGTGTTGGAATTCCTAGCCACTGGCCACGCCCCCAGCTACATAAACAATTAGTCATCCTAGGGCCTTACATCCTACATAATCTGTGTGCTGGGTGACGGAGTAATTTGCATGCAGCATGATCATGCAGTGTATGCACATGCGTGGCATAACTCTGTAAGCCCATATGCGCACGTGCATAAAAGCTGGTCACAGACTCCTCCCCGCTTCTACCTTCTTCTCCTTTTTCCCCTTTCTCTCTGCACAATCATTTCCATAGGCCTAAAGTACATTCCCCTCTGCTCCTTCCTCTAATATACCTTTATAGTGGGTTTTGTTAATCCTCATGGCTTTTCTCGCACGATAAATAGCACTGCTTAATGAATAACATTGCGCTGCTGCATAAAACCAACACCTTGTCTATTCACAAGCCCCATACTTGTTTGTGTGGGGGAAGGGTAACACACTGGTAGGATTTGCTTCATCTTAACTTTCTCCCCAGTCTGGCTGTTGCTTCTGAGTGTAATCCACAGTAAGCTAGATTGCATAATAAATGGCAGAGGTGAAATATCCATAACCAGAATTCATTTTTGGCTCTGCCAGTAACTCCCCATGACTCCCCCCCCACTACAACTTGAATAGATTCACTAATGCAGACTCTTTTCTTTCCTATTCCAAGAATTTAAAAATAGCTCTTCTTTGTCCTTAAGACCATCCTATGATTGCTGTTATCTAGTGACTACTTTCAGGACTGCTAAATGAGGTATCCTAAGCTCCTACACTTAGTTCCATTGCTCTAGGCCACTATACATCCTTAGTTCTGTCTTCTTGATGATAAAACACTTTTTTCCCTATAGGACAATCTCTTGTGTAGTTGTGTTTTCTTTTGGCATCTAGTCAGATGTGTGATTTAATCAAATGAATCATTGGGTTCTATTCTTAAGAGCCTATCCTGCTGTCAAGAGCCTTCTTGGGTCTTCTTTCAGACACTGAAATTTTCTTCCTCAGAAGCCTTTTGTGTCTATACTTATCTGGGTTTACAGGCTTCACTTGATGCAAATATGACATCCTAATTAGGATAGTATCACCTTATGCAGTGTTCCACTGTGTGACTGTTCTCAAACAGATCAAAGGCTTCAAAGCAGCAAAGAAAAGACCCATGTGAAGATCTTCCTTAGCTCTCTCTCACCTAGGTAACTAGAAGACTTCTGTCAAAAAAAGCAGCCATACCTCTCAGAGGGTGGAGTGCCTTCATGTGGGGGTTTCTTCTCCAGGTTCAATGAGTCTTCAATGCTGCTGGTACTGCAGGGAATGTAATGGAGAAGAGAGCACATGAGCCAGCAGGATCTTCAGTTCCTTTGACCAGCAGGAAAAAAGTAGTTTTACTACTTGTGGATATGTATGGGTTACTATGGGAACTTTCAGGAGCCCATACTCTGAAGAAATAAGAAACTAGATGTGCTGGCTAATTTTATGTCAAGGTGACACAAGCTAGAGTCATTTGAAAAATGGGAACCTCAATTGAGAAAATGCCTCCATAAGATCAGGCTGTAGACAAGCCTGTAAGGCATTTTCTCAATTGGTGGTTGACATGGGAAGACCCAGCCCATTGTGGGTGGTGCCATGCCTTGGCTGGTGGTCCTGAGTTCTATAAGAAAACAGGCTGAGCAAGCCATGAGAGCAAGCCAATAAGCAGCATTCCTCCATGACCTCAGTATCAGCTCCTGACTCCAGGTTCCTGCCCTGTTTAGGTTCCTGCCCTGTTTGAGTTCCTGTCCTGATTTCCTTTGATGGTGAATGGTGATATGGAAGTATAAGCCAAATAGACCCTTTCCTCCCCAACTTCATTGTGTTTCATCATAGCAATAGTAACCCTGACTAGGGCAGAAATTGGTACCAGCACAGTGGGGTAGTTCTATGACAGACCTGACCATGTTTGGGGGAGGATTGTGGAAGGACTTTGGAACTCTGGGTTAGAAAAGCTACTTAGTGTTCGAAGCTTGGTGAGCTGTTCTGTGGGAACTTGGAAACTAAGAATGCTGAGAGCAATTCAGATGATCAAGGCCTGGCTTGTGAAGTTCCAGAGGGAAGTTTGAGAGAGAGAGTCCATTAATGAGTCTTATAATGGCTTTTGCATATTCTGAGTTAAGAATCTGTAGTTCTGGTTAGCTGGAGCTGAAATATCAGCTATGATTAATAAGAAACCAGAAGAACTAAAGTGAAACTTTTGTTTTGCTGAGATACTCGATGCTGGTCAGCTGGGGCTCAAGAAATCAGCTCTGATTAAGAGACCAGCTTCAGTGAGGTGAAATCTTGTGGGAAGTGTTTCCTCAGAGTTAGCACACAGAAGTTGGATTCCAGAGAAGGCCAAGGCTGTACCTTGTGCTGGAAGCTGAACTTGGTAGTGTAAGAGTCACCCAGGTGGTACTGCATTTGAAGGTATGAAAGGGTGGGTCATGGAGAACAGCCGAGGCTTGGCACTGTGTGGCAGGATTTGAATTCCTGAAGAGAGCCTGGGAGAGGCTACTATTGGTGAAAGTATAGCCCAGTTGTAGCAAGAGACCCCAACAGCAGCAGCAGCAGCTGTGGAGTGGGGCCAGCCAGAGCCTAGAGAAGACAAGCTGTGTGTGCTACAGAGGGCAGCGCTAGAGAAGTGACCCAAGCACTTTGGAGGAGCCCAGAAGATGGTGAGTGGACCCCAGACATTGGATACTAAGTTGTTCACAGAGTTTGGTTTTACTTTTATTTGCTTGTGACTGTGCCTCGGTTCTTTCCTCTTGAAGTAAAAAAAAATATTTATTTTTATTTTATAGGTGCCCACAATTGAGACATTGAATTTTTTAAAAGTTTCAATTTTAGAAGAGACTGGGTGTTTAAAGAGAATGAATTTTTTAAAGACTGTGGGACTTTTAAATTATGGAATATTTCTAATGTAATATAGATATTAACATGTGATCATGAGGATGAAGAAGAAAGGAAAGGTTATGGCTTAACAGTGATATGCTTGTGTCAAGATGACAAGGGGTCAATTGTGCTGGGTACTTTTATATCAACTTGACACAAGCTAGGGTGTGGGTGGGTGGTTTAGCACTGAAAAGACATGGGAGTACCTTCCTTCATGGCATCAGAATGCAAGCAGGCAAGGTGATCAGTGGAAAGGTGTCTGTATATGAGGCCACCTAGCATGAAAGAACATGGGGGCTAAAGATGATTTTCTATCCACCTAACTAGACAGAAAACCTAGAAACCCATAAGTCATGCATTAACAGGCACATGCAGTATTCTTCATTCATTCAGTAGCTACTCTCTACTGAGTCCTGAATGAGGGAATGGGATGTAGGAATGAAGGGAGCATTGGGCCTGGTACAGGCTATGATAACAACGCTGAAACTTGTTCTTACCTGCCATAGTGTGAAAACACTGGCTTCCCAGAAGACACTTCACTAGCATTCATGTACTCCTTCACGAAGAGAATCCCTTTGCTGTAGAAGGAGCACAACAGAATAGGACGTGTACTAGAAGATTCCAGGGGACTGGGCCTGGCCCACAGAGGAGGGTCAGTTCCCCCTGCCCAGTTTGATAAAAATACAGAAGCTCATGTGAAGGCCTAGGATAGAGGGGCTCATGGGCCTCACAAGCCAGGCTGCAAGGGTAGCTGCAGACAGAGATGCCAGGCTGTTGATGCTATTGTCATGTGGGCTCAAATCTTAGCTCCTGTATTCATTTCATATTTTGTCTTAGAGATGTAAAAGGTGGCTCCCTGAAATCAATGGTAGCATGCCCTCTTCCATAGAAGCCCCAAGCCTCCAACCCTTTCCCAGACTTCTGTGAGTCAGTCCCTTCGCTTTCCTTTCCCTTCCCTCCTCTATGGCTGAGGCTTTTCTCCATTCTACCAACAATCAGAATGTTATCAGTGAATGAATGATGGACAGCTGTTTCTTTCTACTCAGCACCTTAACTATAGCATTTACGTGCTACTTCACATTCCCTTATCAATCATGTTTCAGGGGCCTACAAGTCACCTTATTCTAACTAAGCCTTTGGAAAGTCTCTGCAAGCTTTGGAAACAAGATCTGCTTCATGCTGGCTCAGTGTAGTTTCATTGTTGACCCTGAATTCCATGTTCCAGTTCTCTAGCCTGATATCAGCAGAGAACTTTTTTGGTATCTCAACACATACCTCTCACTCAGTAGGCTCCCTAGAATGGCACCCCTTCTTGTAGGCTAAAAGATATTCAATAGTACAGCTGAAGGAGTGAATATGAGAGAGAGAGAGAGAGATAGAGAGAGAGATAGAGAGAGAGAGAGAGAGAGAGAGAGAGAGAGAGAGAGAGAGAGAGAGAGAGAGAGAGAGAGAGAGAGAGAGAGAAACAATGGCCTGGCCTCCCTGGCTTTCATGGGTCTTCCCAGGCATGTCTCCCAGGGATGCTAGCTAGCAAAGCCCTACAGATAGCAAAGCCCTGCAGCTGACTGAATCTGCTAGTGTCCTGTATGTGCCACTTTAGCTTCTTGTTGAGATGAGAAGAGGGAAAGCATGCTGCAGGACCATGTCTAATCCTACCAATAGGCTTGGGGAGTGCAAGATTTATACTTGAGGAACTAAGAACTATATTATATCTGTCCATTTGTTACAGGATGCTAGGAGGTGTCAAAGAGAAAGCAACACAGAACAAAAGCAGCGTCCTTTACTTGCAAGGAGGTTACAGGGAACCTCCATGCCCAAGAACATTGCAACTTGCTAGATGCCCCTTCTTACATAGTTGAGCCGAAGTCCAGCTCACTTGAGGCAGCTGGAATATGCAAGTGAGTCTGTTCAGAGATGGTAGCAACATTAACAGTGACCATGGAGCTTTCAGGGCCTTTCAGCCTGAAAGAAATGGAGAAAAGAGTGAGCATGTCTCTACTTTCAGAGTTAAATAGTGCTTTATGGACTAACCTCAAGTTTGCTACTTCAAGACCTCTGAAACCATGCCAGTGCTCTGGGATGTCTTTCTGTACACTGTGAATATATGTTGTTCCCACTGGTTAATAAATAAGCTGCTTTGGCCTATGGCAAGGCAGCTTAGAGGCAGGCAGGAAGAAGAAAGGCAGAGGTGGGAGAGACCTGAGCCAGCCGCTGAATGAACAGCATGTAATGGGATGCAGATAAAGCCACAGAACACGTGGTGATACATAGATAAACAGTTATGGGTTAGTTTAAGATATAAGAGCTAGCTAGCAAGAAACCTGCCATAGGCCATACAGTTTGTAAACAATATTAAGCCTCTGAGTGATTATTTTTATAAGTGGCTGCAGGACTGCGGGGCTGGGTGGGATTGAAGAAACTTTCTGGCTACATGCCACTGTTTTGGGACCAGTAGCTGCAAATCTTATTATTGCTCTTGAATGTTTCTCAGAGATCAGTGAATAGAGCCTCTCTCTATACTCATGAGAAAATCTAGGTAAAGATGAGAGAAGACACAGCCCACTTCAAAATGACTCAGGAGTGAAACTTCCATATTTCAATTTCTACTCGAATTTCTGGACTACAGCCTAGGGCCTTGATATTGGTAATTTATCTATCAGGCTACTGGGAATGTGGCAGCCAGGAGGGAGCAGCTGGAGAAAACAGTATAGTTTGCTAGTTTAGAAACCAGACAAGACAATCCTTTTGTAGGATTAACTCCCTCGCCTCATACCAGACTTCCTGGAGAACAGCGGGCTATGGGAAAAGAGTTAGACTCAGACGTTAATGAGAAGGCAGATCAGATGCACCTCATTCTGCAACACACCAGTCACTTTGGCTGCAACACATGGTCCTGGATGCCAGCCTCCAAGGCAGCTCACAAGGCCTTTCTTTGGCTAGCCCTTACTGACTCAGTATACATATCCCAGTGATTAATAGTGCAGGCTCTCTAGGCTCTTGACTATGAGTATTCTAATTCATGTTAGGCCACTTCATACCGAAACAGTGAAATCCAGGTGTGATAAGAGACCCTGTCTCAAAAAATAAAGTGGAGAGGCTAGGGAAAATAAAAGCACTTGCCACACAAATGTGAGGACTGGATACACATAAAAATCTAGGCAATGTGGCAGCCACCTATAATCTCAGCACTGGGGAGGTGGAAATAGAGGCTCCCTGAGGCAAGGTGGCTAGCTATACTAACAGGAATTGGCAAGGTCTAGGTTAGCAAGATATCCTGTCTCAATAAAAAGAGAATTATTAAAGATATCTGATAGCAATTTGCACCCACATACAGGCACCTGCACCCACCATGTACCTACACATGCAAACATATGCACACATACCACATACATACCCATGCAAAACATTAATAAAGTGGAGAGTGATAAACAGACGAGTTCATCTTCTGGCTTCCACATACTCATACATAGGTAAGCATGCCTGCATACACACACACACACACACACACACACACACACACACACACACACACACACACACACACTGGCCACAGTAAAGAGACAAAGTAAAAAAAAAAAACATTCAAGGAGACTCTCCAATACCTGCAATGTAAATGCCAAGAGGCCTCCAAAGTTCTTCATCCTTAGTGGTAATGAAACATTTCATTTCCTTCCCAATGATCTCCTCTCCCTAACCTACAAAAGCCCACCTCCTGTCCCCTGTTCACCTTTCTCTATCCCCATCAACCACAGGGCCCATCTTTCAGGCCTTCTTTCCTCTTCTTTCTGTAGGTTGCTTCCAGCTGCTACAGGTCTTCCCTGTTAACAATAATTTGCCTGATCCCCTCTCTGTCATAGTACAAGATACTTTTTTCTTGGCTTATTACAAACAGAAAAACAGTATGCATATCCTGGTGATTAACAGTCCAGGCTCTGGGCTCTGACTATATCCTAATTCTTGTTAAGACTCTCGGAACTGAGAGGCATGGAAAGGCAAAGGTGAGAACAAGACAGTCAGTCAAAATCAAGTCAGAAGGAAGACTAATAACTAGTAAGCCCAAGAAATAAAGGAATAAAGGAATACTGAGGACAATAAGCATGTGCTGCCTTGATCAACAGCCTCTACTACACATCCTGCTAAGGCAGTAACCAGTGACAGCTGCCAAGGAACCCACAATGGATGTGGAGTTCAGAAAGTTTCATCACAAATGGAAATAAAAGTGACCCTGTAGGAATAGAGAGAATGCCATCAAGTCATCCAACAATCCTTAAGCCCACATTGTAAATGAGAATTGACAGACTATTTCAGGATGAAGAACAGTTGTACTAGACTTTGGGAAATAAAGAGTTGTTTTATTTTTTCCAATGTGAAAAAAATATTAGCAACCTTGGAATGGTCAGGTCCTGCTTTTCCAAGGCCAGGAGTCAGAAAGCTCCCATCGTGGCAGGCCTGAATTGCTCACAGAAAGTGAAAGAGAAAACATTGTTTACTTTCTACTGTATTCTGCCTTGGTATCTTTCCTCCTCTTGCAGAAAACTTCTGACCCTTGTTTCCTCAAACTACTGCTGTCAGCCAATTTCAAGCACCACACACTCATAGGTCAGCACTACAGAGGTGATTTATTGCCTTACTGGTCCATCTCAGGCCATCCTGGTTGTGGTGGCATTGAGAGAACTTATCCAAGTGGCAGCCTTCTCATCCATACCAGGCTCTACCTTTCGGAGACCTTACAACTCCACGAATGCAAAAATATTCCATATCTTTAACTCCATTCCCATGTTCAGAGGCTTCAACTGGCTGCTGGACAACATGATACTCTATGCCAGTCCTGGGTCAGGGGCAGCAGCCAGCCAGTGCAAGCTCTTACTTGGTACGATTGCCCAGTTTGGTTTGCTGCTCAGATCTGCTGGGGCTGCTCTGTGGCTCTGGGGTGCTGGGATCTGCAAGTTGTTGAGTAGCCACAGCTCGGTCTCCTTGGCAGCCTTGTGGGGGCTCAGGTGTCTCCTGCCAGGCCTCATTGATCTTGGGAGCTGTATTATTCTCCTTGCAAGCAACTGGAGTGCTGAGAAAAAAATAAATATTGTATATATTATGCTGAGAGGAGCAGAGGCCTGAACTTTGCTGGGTCTCTGGGGTCTGGATGTCACTTACCAAGGGTATTGGGGAACTCATCTCAAGAGCCAAGCAGCCACTTAACTCTCAGAAAGCAGGTAGTCTCAAAGTGGCAATCACAGTACAGTCACCTTGGTTTGGTTTCCATGACTTCAATCTTTACTAATTCTTCGATTTATCCAAACATTTCCTTCTTGGTACCACACCAAAATCATCTTCCTTCCAGGCCCTTCAGTATTTTCCTTCAAATTTTTGCCTACATGGTTTTGCTTCTCTCTTATTTTTACCATTGTGATGGTTAATCTCGACCACCAACTTGATGGGGTTTAAAATCATCTAGAAGACATACCTCTGGGCATATATATGGGGGTGTTTCTAGAGATACTGAATTGAAGGAAGGTTCTTCTTGAATTGGGGTGGCAACAGAGGAACAGAGCTGAATAGCCTTCAGCTCTGATTCCTGATTGCATATGCAATGTGACCAGCCATCTCATGCTCTGATGCCATCCATGCCTTCCCTACCATAATGGACTATTTCCCTCAAGCTGTGAGTCAAAATCAATTCGGCTCTCCATAAATTGCTTTTTTCAGGTGTTCTGCCACAGCAATGAGAAAGGCAATTAATGTAACTTTTTTCCCATTTCATTTCCTTTCTTGCTTAGGATTTTAGGAGGAGACACTCATTACTACCTCTGTTTTTTCTCATTTTGAGTTAAAAGAAAGCAGAAATGGAGAGAAATGGCTACTGATGAAGGTTTAGAGCCTACAAGTTTGTAACCAAAAGGAAGGCTCCCTTTACATCCCTGAACCACATGGATTTACCCATCCAGCTGACAGCGGCAGCTAGTCAGACAAGAAGCATGGGGATTTTGTAGAGAAAAGCAGAGAATAAACACTGGCTTCCAGACTTGTTCTTATCTACACCCTTTGCTTGTTACCTATAAGCTGACAAGTCTCAGCACTCTAGACACAGATCATAGCTTTACTCAATTCCAGCCTAGTGAGTTGACTTATCACCTGGATCCTCTACAAGCACTTCAAAGTCAACATGGCCCAATGACCTTAACATCACATCTGTACAGCAACTCTTCTAACTTCCTCATCCTCAACTAGTTCCTTTCAGTGTCCACCCTGTCACCATTACCTTTAATTAAAGTCAGCAACACCTGTAGCCTTATCAGATCACCGTCAGCCTGAGCCACAACCTCTGTACAGGTCTCCTACCTTGTGTGCTGTGCATCTCCTTGGCCTAACCCCCCTGTAACTAATTTCAAGGCTATCTCCTATATGAAAACCATGTTTGTTGGCTCCTTGGCTCCTCAGGAACAAGTGCTTGCCTAGCCCCCCTCAGTGCTTCCTGGTAAGTCACAAATTAGCTTTCATTCCTGTGGCTGGGCACACAGAGGCTCCCTAGCAAGACCTTACTCAAGGTCAGGGAATCTGGGCTTGCTTTACCCACCAGGGCTTCATAATGGGGTGATTTGACCACAGATGTGGTTACCAGGTGTTTTGAAGGGTCTACACTTGGCTGTATGTTGTGCTTTGATCTTGAAAGGAGGAGGTCTTTTGCTTTTCTCCTTGGTATTGTATAAAAACCCTTTGGAATAAACCTTGAGGTGACTGAGTATTGACCCAGGGCCCTCCCGAAGCTATCCTGTGTCTCTGTCTTTCTTATGGTCTCCTTTTATCTTTCTATCTAATACTTCCCATTTCTCTTTCCTCCCTACAAGAACCCTTTGACAAGTTGCAGCTGGACTCCAGCAGACTCCCTCACATTCCCTGTAGTCACCCTGACTCTACATTCATCATATACCCTACCCTTTTCCAGGCCTCTGGTTTTTTCAATCTCGAATGCCTTCTCTAGCACATCTATTGGGGGAAATTCTCCTTAGCCTTCAAACCTAGCTCCAACCTCACTCTTCCTGTAAAGAAAGCCACACCACTACTGCCCATCCATAACCAAAGGAAAGGAAAACAGGACCAATCACCTTCTCCTGCATCTGTAGGCTGTACTTTTTAAAACTTATTTTAAAATTTTTTGTTGTCTCTTCATTGTACCTGGTACTATGTTACATAAGGGCAATTTTAAACAAGCATTTTGTATACTAAACACATTTTCCCCAGACATCTTACCTCCCATTTCACACACCCCTCCAACTAACTCCCTTTGTTCCCCTAGCCAGTTTCATTTCTATGTGGTATCATTGATTTTATGTACCTTTAAAAAAATCTAGAAACCATAAAATAGAGAAAACATGATTATCTTTCTGGGACTAGCTTAATATGGTGATCTCCAGTTACATCCATTTTCCTGAAAGTGACTTAACTTTTTATGGCTAAAAAGAACTCCATTGTGCACAGAGACCAAAGTTTCTTTATCCACTTCTCTGTAGCTGGATTCCTAGGTTGGTCCAATACCTTGGCTGTTGTGAAAAGTAGGCTGCATGTCTTATAGCCCTTAATATACAGACATGAAGCACTAAAGGAAACCAAATTATGTGACAATAACTACAAAGTTGTTTAATCAATGTCCTTGCTCAACTGTACCTTCTCCTGTCTCCCTGGTTAGAAAGAGTCTTGACTCTCAACATTTCTGTCTTCTGTGAGGAATCTTTTGCTTTGCTCCTCATGAGTGGCTAACACTTTTGCTTGTACCCTAGAAATCACCAAGCAGCACAAGCACTGTGCATGTAATTATCTGTGTGCATGCCCAGAGTTGTGTGGAACAACACGGTGTGGGCTGGCAGTCTGACAGCCTTCTCAAGAGCCTAGACTGGAACATCTGCTCATACTTCACAGGTACCTCTACTTACAGTCACAGTACCCATCAGTCATGTACAGAGACACACCAAAACCAACATTCCTCTTCACTCTTTATCTTGCTTTCTCAAGCATGTTCTCTTCTTTGTCCTGTGGCTGTCTATGTTTCACTCTATTACTCTTTTTCATTCTATTTCTCCCCCCTCACAGTCTGTATAACTCATGCTCTCTGTTGTTGTTGTTGTAAAAAAATAATAAGCAGCACTGTTACCAGGTGAAAACATCATGAGACATGACAAAACCTAGTATCAGAGCTTTATTAGGAGGGGGAGGGGGATAGAAGAGAGTAACCAGGCCGGGGGAGACACAGAGAGAGAGATAAGGAGAGGGAGAGGGAGAGGGAGAGAGTGGGGGGAGGAGAGAGCAAAGAAGAGAGGGGAGGAGTCTGTATCTGGCTTTTTAAGGATTCCCCTGCACATGCACAGGTGGGCTTACAGAGCTACACCACGCATGCGCAGATTGCGTGACCATGCCATGCATTACATAATCACGCAGCACATGGATGATATAAGACGTAAGATCCCTACTTAGCTACTGAACTGTGCATGTATGGTCATGAAGCTGGAGTGGGGGCAGAATCATAACAGTCATACTTTTTGACACCATCATTGTATAAATAAAAATAGTCTTCACCATCCCTAGGACCTCACAATTGTATACTCTGGAAATAGCCAGGCTTCTTGTATTGATTACAACCCCATCCCAGCTTCTTAAATCTCAGGAAGCTGCCTAAGGACTAGGCTATCAACATCCTGAGCATATTCAGAGAAGAATCCACACAATGGCCTGGAGTGAGAGAAGCAGCTCCCACCTACGACGTTGTGGCCTTCACAGAAACCTTGGCCACAGACATCAGAAGGTCAGTAGAAGACCTTACCTGCTGACACAGGCCTCAAGTTTGATGACCTGATTGGGTACACCAGGGCTGCTCTCCAGCTCTGGGGTGCTGGGATCTGCCGAGTATTGAGTGGCCATGGCTGGGTCTCTCTGGCTACCTTCTGTAGCTCCATCTGTCTCCTGACAGGCCTTGATGGTCTTGGGGGCCACATTCTTCTCACAATCAGCGGAGGGGCTGAGGAAGAACAAGTATCATATAGAAAGAGGCCCAAGGGAATGTCCCACTGCACTCTAAAACTGGCCCTCTCATGTAGGATACAAACTAGGGAAAACTCAATCGAGAAGGAAAAAGGCAAGACAGTGTGTTATTAAATGACTGAATAAAGAAATTGGGAACCACAGGATAGCTTTTTGAGTATCTTTAAAGAGTTTCAAGTCAAGGAAATATTTCTCTACAACTACATTTAGTTTGAAGGCTTTATAAAACGAGTATTTGATATAATTTTGTATCCCCCCAAAATGTCCCACGTCCTTTACATATGTAAACCCACTTAACTCTCTCTATATCGTAGGAGCTATTTCCATTATTGTTCATGTAAGAGCTGAACAACACGCCAAAGGTCCTATAGACTACCTTGGGCTTAAATCAAAGCTTCAGAATCCAAGCCCTTAGCCCACTATGCACAATCAAATGAACATTGGGCAAAATCCTTACACCTTCTGACAAATTAACTGTGACCTGGGCCAAGTTTTGCCTCGTGGCTGGTCCTGACCTCACACCCCTCAACCAGTCTGTTTATCAAATGTACAGGGAACTGTGAATTCATACAGCAGAGTCCTGGCCCAGCCGGTACAGCGGTAGCCGCTGCAGTCTGCCGAGGTGAAGCCATCCACAAATTGCCCACTGTAGCCAGCTGCCCCACCCACCCACCCCAAAATTGGTGGTGATGATCGGAAAGGGAGCTCGCTGGCACAACCAGGATTTGTGATCGCCCAGCACCATCTTGTGGCTCGTGAGGGAACTGCCTCAGGAGAAGTCCTGTTGACGCCAGTCTCTGGAGCAGCCATTTCGCCTTTCCAGCTGTCTTATTTCCCAGCGGGCACCATAGCCTGAACAGGCTGCAGGAAATGGCTGCGCAAGCAGGCGTATTCATACGGAAGCGCTGGCCTAGACGCCGACGCCCAGCGAGCGCATCATGCGCATGCACCCATTTGCAGGCAGTGCACCAAATTGTAGACCTGCGCAACTGAAGTAGAAGGCAGTCTACTTGGGCTAGGCACAGGCGCATTCGTTCTGTGTCCAAGGTGCCTGTTTGCGGCAGTTTGATTGGACCTTTCACATTTTCAGTGTGTGTACCCGAAGAGATGGTGCTAGAGGAGGGCTTGTCAACCTTAATACTATTAACATTTTGACTGGATAAAGCTAGTATGTGTGTTGAGAAGAATCAGGCACTCTTTTCACTTGTACTATAGGTCGTTTAGCAGTATCCATAATTCCTATCCTTTAGAAGCCACCCTTGGTTGTAGCATCCAAAAATATCTCGTTATTATGAGATGACACAGGAAGATAGGGGGTGAGCAAGGCAAACCCCTCATTAAGAACTGCTACCCTTAGATTGGTTCCCAGTGTATACTGGACAAGAGAGGAAATTGGAGAGCTTAAGAAAAATACTGGAGACATATGCTCAGGAAATTAAACAAAAATCTCAGAAAGTGTTTTGTTATTAATATTTTTCCAGGCGAGGGGCTGGAGAGATGGTTCAGCAGTTAAGAGCACTGTCTAATCTCCAGAGACCCTGAGTTCAATTCCCAGCAGCCACTTGCAGCTCAAAACCATCCGTCTCTGCGGATCTTTCGCCTTCTTCTGACCGTCACTGACACTGCATGCAGATGGTGTGCAAAAATACAAGCAAGCAAACACCCATACACATAAAATTTAAAACTTTTGAATGAAAAAACAAACAAACAAACAAACAAGAATTCTTAAGCACACCCAGAGTTATGAAACCCCGTCATCAGGAATGTTTGCACTGAGTTTTCAAACTGGTAAACATCAAAGGAATGTACCTCTTGGAACCTGGGTTCTACAATTGGCCAGATTTAGATTTTATTCCTAGTTCTGCTCATCACATGAATGGACCCAAGTTTTCTTCCTGTCAAATTGCACAATCATAAGTCTTTCTTGGCTTGGGGAATGATAACACCAGATCAATACATCAGCTGGAAGGTGACGTTTCTGGTCCTGACATTAGGCTCTAAACAAATTTCATCAACTAGCTTGCTGAAGTTTCTCTTAAGGTTTATTAGGACAACTTGGCCACAGGTATGGTTTTGTATAAGTCACTTAACCTTTCTGTTTGCTTCCCCATTTACCCATCTCACAGTTATTGGGATAACTTTAAAGCACATAAAAACAGCATACTGTAACTATTATCAGCTAATATTTTCAGAGTGTTAATTGTTAGTGCAATTTAAGAGAAGAAACAGTGCATAACAAGGCCTGTAACTTAGAGGGGAACTGTCCATACCACCTCCCAGCAAATGATTAAAGTAAAAAGGCAACTGTAGTGATGTGAAAATCACCTTTAAGTCCATAAACCACAGCAGTCTCTTCTTTGGATTAAAACCTTATAGATAAAGTCTCATTATTATACTGAACAAGTCCCTGTTCTGTCATCCCTCACTCATTAGTCACCAGTTACTCTATGCTTTGGAACATGCTAGGAACATTTTCTCCACAGGGTTATAGGATTTGCAGTTATGTAGCTTCAGCTGTACCCCTTCTTTCTAGAGTTTATTCTCTTTGCTCACTTGAACTACCTCCACCACCCCCACAATCCCTTTAACAAGTATCCCCCTGCCCACCATCTCTATATCTTAGAACCATGGCTGTTATCTTCAGAGCACTGTCCTTCCAAGAAGACATGGGGACCTGGGATTCAAGCCTCTGCTTTTCATATAAACTAAGTACCAACCTGAAAGATACTGTGGAAACAGAATTGAAGGTTGTGGCAGGAGAATGGATCATAGAGAGAGAGGCATCATGATTAACATAGCAAAGAAACCATGGTTAGAAGACTGGACCTCTCCACACATACATCACAAGCTACTTGTAATAAAACAGCACAAATGAGAAAAAAATCATGATTTCAAATGTATGAGTGTGTGGGCCTACATAAATCACCCATAAAGGATCAAGATATTCCTCATACAAGGCTTTTGGGCTTCAGAATGTTCCCAGATTTGGTCTACTTCCATTCTCGTGTGTGTGTGTGTGTGTGTGTGTGTGTGTGTGTGTGTGTCTGCACATTTGGAGGCTAGAGGACCACCTCAGGTGTTACTCCTTAGTTACACCATCCATTGCCTTCAAGACAGGGTCTCTCACTGGCCTGGATCCCACCAATCCAGTTAGGCTATACCAGCAAGACCCAGGGATTCTCCTGTCTCCACTTCCCCATTGCTGGGATGTCAAGCTTTTTATATGAGTTCTGGAGATCGAACACAAGCCTTAATGCTTGCACTTTGCCAACTAAGCCATCCCTCAGCTCCCTACTTCCATTCTCAGGAATGCTTTTCTCTTTCTTAATAAACTGCCTCCACTTCTACTTCTATCTCCCTGGTTCTATTCTCATTGCTTGAGAGGCTGCCATTGCCATCTCAATATATAACTTCAGAACCAATCTCTACTAAGCTATCTCAAAGACCCCTTTTATGTTGTAGTACTGATTTCTTATTTAAAGCATAAGAGTTCCTTGAAAGCCATATCATGTCTTCATTGTCTGTGGACTGGTATAAAAGTAAAGTGCCACCCCAGCAGTTGAAGGAAAGTGACCTTTCTTGATTAGAGAGTGCTTCTTCATTGGAAGCAATTGTACTTAATGGAAAACTTCCTGGCACAGACAGGGGCTGAAAAGTTCCATCTGGATCTTCTGTCTCTCCATATATTTCAGGCTAGCTCACAGGTATAGCTGGCTTCATCTTCCTAGCCAAAGTCTGATAGATACCCAAGGTGCCTGGATTTCTAGCACTGTCTGCTAATGCCTTACCCCTTGGGGTCTGCCTTTTTATTTTCCAGGTCTGGTGCACTGTTGTTCTTCTTGTTATCCAGGAAAGAAATTATGTTGCCAGACCTGAGGAAAGGAATCACTAAGGTCTACTGAGGCCCAGAACAGAGGAGACTGGGGTCCATGGCTTCCCCTTTGCCAGTTGCCTTCTCAGAGGAAAGGGAAGGACTGAGTTTGCCAGTAAAGAGAGTCCTGTCTTTTGTTCACTAAAGTCACTGTCATTCTTAGAGAAGTGTTGTCTAAGACTTAGCCTTCTAGTGCTGGCTGTCCACCCCTGAGATTTGTCTCCCCAAATCCTACTTGTTGGGGCAGGCTACAGTCTATACAGAAGAGGTTCACTGAGACTGGCTGCTCAGCCTCCTGATGACGCTTTTCCACAAGTTTCCACCACTACCCAAAGTGGGTCCATGTAGGTTGATGCTGGAATTTCTGGGCCAACAGAGTCATCACATGTCCCTCTTGTAGTACTTCCAATGTGGGGAATGCAGTTCTAGGTCAGGCCCCAGCAGGCTTTTGATCCAGCTATGATTATCTGATGGGGTAAAGGTCTAAAGATGAGGGGATCCTTGGCCACTGGAACTGAGAATGAGCTCTGTTTGATAATAAGATAGATTACTGAAGTGCTGGCTGTACCTTTACTGGTACAGGCTTGCAGAAGTGAGAGCTCGCACCTTGCACACCCTGAGCATCTAGAAAAGGGGTGAAGCTAGCAGCTGATCCCAGCCTGTGGAAAGAAACCAAACCTTGTCTGAGGTCATAAGTCTGTTTCTGCATGTCTTACCCTCTTCTGAGTGAGTGGCCTCGAGCCCTAGCAGATTATGGGCAATGAAGAGCTGCTCACATAGATGCTTGGGGGAGTAAGACTCATTTTCATCTCCAAACAGCCTGATATCTGGGGGCAGTGTGGATTCAAATCACAGTTTTGATGTCTCTGAGCTCCTGGGCACACTGCCTGACCTGTTTAGCCATCAGTTTTATCAGTTAGTAAATTAGGAATGATAATCATGTCTGTCCCATAAGTAGTCTCAATTCATACTTCAAATAACACTTGGGCCATAGCCTCTGCTAACATGTTCTCCACTCCTGCTAAGCCCAATGGTCATTGATAAAAGCATAGCCCCTTCACAATTCATTTGTATGTGCCCAGCTGATACTGGTATAGAACTCTTTTACCTAGGCTTCCCAGTTAGGCCCCATCCTCTTTCCTGGCAAACTGATGATGCCCATAGGGCACCCATCAGTTACACAAGCCCCTGTCTTCCATATGGATAGCATACTGTCTTACAGTCCTTTATGTTTACTTCTAGGCCTAGAACTAAATTCAACTATTGAGCAATCTCATACAAGGAAAAGGAGGGTAGTGCTTTCCAGGAGAGGCAACCCTTTGAAAGGATTGTAAACCATTTTCTTAAAAGCACCATTTTCTTAAAAACAAAGAAGTGGGTTGGGGATTTAGCTCAGTGGTAGAA